AGTTTATCTTACTTACAAACTGACCATCTGTAACTACTCAATAACTTGTGAGTTGTAGGTAGGCGAGTTGTGAAGACGAACACGCCTCAGGATTCCTTAGTTTCCGCGTGCCCGAGGTATCTGAGGACTGCAGCCACAAGACAATCTGCTCGGAAGAAGGCAGCTACATAAGCAGGAAAGCGATCCTGCCCCAGACAAGTGCCAAAGCCTATTTTTGTCAACCATGTCTTCATATTACTCATCATTTCCTGACCTGGCAAAACGCAGTCGAAGGCTATCAATTTGTTTCAACTCTACGATGACATCAAGAGACAGGTCCCAAGGGTGCTGCCAACACTCAGAGAGCAGGCATTAAAACTCAGCACTCAAAGGTTTGATAAATCCCAGGCTGAAATTACTTTCGAGAGATGATCTAGACTGGCATGTCATTTTGTGAGGGTTAGAACCCAATATGGCACTTCAAAATCAATTAGTGAATCGGAAATATATTTAAAATGTGTAGTTTTTAAAAATTAAAAGATGGGCCTGGTGCAATGGTTCTGTGCGTAAATCTGGCTTGTACTGCCAGGATCCCATCTGGGCGCCGGTTCATGTCCTAGCGGCCCTGTTTCCATCCAGCTCCCTGCTTGTGAACTGGGAAAGCGGTAGAGGATGGCCCAGGGCCTGAGGACCCTGCACCCACACAGGAAAACTGGAAGAAGCTCCTGGCTTGGATCAGCCAGCTCTGGCCATTGTGGCCACTTGTGAGGTGAGCCAGCAGATGGAAGAGCTCTCTGTGTCTCCTCTCTATGGATCTACCTTTCCAATAAAAATAAATAAATCTTAAAAAAAAAAAGGTAGAAAAGTATAAATAATAGAAATACACAAGTGCTGGGGTCTGTGCAGTGGGTGTGGATGGCATGAAGGTGTGAAGAGAACAGCTCCCTTGTGTGGCAAGGCCCGGGGGAGTTTCCAGCTGTTAGGCAAGGCCCAGCGGACTTTTCTCTGACCACCTTGACACAGTTTTACCACCTGTTTGCATGGACACTCAACCACCCCACTAAGAATTCTGTAATGTATTGAGGCATTGTTTGCCCCTGTGGGATGGCTTTTATCACCAACGTGAGCTTGAGAGTTAATGTTATTGATAATATCTTGGTGAGTGGGCCTTTAACTGTGCACAGGAGTACAATTAAACCCATGCCATTTCTGGACACCTTACTGTGTACCTACCCATTGCCCTGAAATCGGGCCCAGACATATAGTACACCTTCTGGGAAGGGGCTTGAAAATATCCTAAATATTAATGCAAGTGATGGGAGTGAGAGCTGAAACTGCTATGGCAATTAATATAGTTATTGTTATCTCAAAGGCTAGCCTGTCTTTGCAATTTTTTTGGAACATAGAAAATGTAACTGTTTTAGCCACTTTTATAATTTTTAGCTAGAGGAATTAAGGATGCTTTTATTAAAGAAAAATGCTTTTGATTATTGCTTTATTGTTTATGGGGTTGTAGGAGTCTATAGTTGTAGGGGGATTTTAACATTTGAAGTTTTTGTTTTAGATTTTAGGTTTTTTTTCCCTTGTAGCTTATTTTCCCATTAAACGATGGGTAAAATGTAGAAGGAAAAATGTGGTGGGAAAGTACTACTGATTAGCAGGTAATCGCATGTGCCTTGGCCTTGGAGTCCTGGCTGTTGCTCCATGGCTGCTGTTGTAGAATAAACAACAGCTTGCTTTGAAGAATATGAATAAGAATATGAATTTGCACATTATCTTTAGGAGCACCTGCTTAGCCTTGAAGTGCAGACGGAGTGACCAAATGTCTGTACATGCCCACTTAATTTTGAAAAGAAAAAAAATAGAATAGTTGCTTGTGCAGAAGCTTGAGAAGGGTTTTGAGTAAACAAAAAAGGACAGCTTTTTCCTGAGCGGTTGTGAGAACGCACCAAGTGTCTGTGTCTGTGTCTTCCTTGATCGCCCCGACTCCACGCACCCATCCTGAGCTCCGAACTCGGCTGGAGCTGGACTCCGGCAAGTGGCGCCCAACGTGGGGCGCCACTCGCCGACTCCACACACCCTTCCTGAGCTCCGAACTCGGCTGGAGCTGGATTCCAGCACACAAGTACTATACAACTAAATGCTGTTTCATTAACAAATGTTAAATATATTTGCATATTCACACATAGATGTATACAAATTTCCCAGAAATAAAAATGCATGTAGTTTTTCCAAAATACATTGTTTCTATAAGTTTTCTTCAGATCCTGTAGAAATTGATTTCAAATTTTTTTCACCAAAAGAAAACTGAATTTTAATTTCATTTTCTGGAAACTTTCTGAAGAACTTCTGAGTGTACCTCAAAAATATTAAAAGTATACAAGAATATTTACTGCTAAGAGTAATTTTTCTTTGAAGCCAAGGAGACACTATCCATTATTTAGAGATGGGGTTCAAGCATCCTTCCAAAAAGCACCACAGGAAATAAAAAATATTAACAAAAACCATAAGACTTGGAATTGCTAAAGCAACATTGAAGTGGGGAGAGGGGAAACAAATATCAGAATCTGGTATGAAATATACCACAAAGGTATAGTAATTGAACCCATGCCCAACGGCACTATACAAAATACCCAAAAATACAGAACTAACCCAGGTGTCCATCAGCAGGCGGGGAGAAAGAAAATCTGGTATAACACACAATGGAAGGCCAGCCAGCCAAATGGACGGAACCAGAGGACATTACATTAGGTGAAATAAGCCAAATATGGTATGATTCTCCCTCAGATGCAGGGGAGAGGGGACCCCAACCCAAACACAGAATGGTGAATACTGGATGCTACCAGAGATGGGAGATAGGTCAGCTTAGAAATGGCACCAAATCAGAGTTAGAGCCAAGAAACACATTCCCAGCATTACACAGGATGTTGAGAAAGTACAGCTCTGCTTGTATGAACAAACAGAATAAATCCAACCCTACAATTATAAAGTCAAAAGAGGACAAAATTTTTGTTTCCGGCATGGTGCCCTAGTGGCTAAAGTCCTCGCCTTGCATACGCCAGGATCCCATACGGATGCCTGTTCTAATCCCGGCAGCTGCTCTTCCCATCCAGCTCCGGGCTTGTGGCCTGGGAAAGCAGTCAAGGACAGCCCAAAGCCTTGGGACCCTGCACCTGCTCGGGAGACCTGGAAGAGGCTCCAAGCTCCTGGCTTCGGATCAACGCAGCTCCAGCCACTGCAGTGGGCACTTGGGGAATGAATCAACAAATGAGAGATCTTCCTCTCTATCTCTCCTCCTCTCTGTATATCTGAATCCAATAAAAAAAAATAATAAAAGAAATAAAAGGTTTTTTTTTTAAAAGGAAGTTTTTTGATTGGTATCATTGTATATCTATGTCAAAATGTCTTTTAAACAAAAGCAAAATACTAATAACTTTGAGCTTCTATATTTTTCACTTACAACATCTGGTATTACTCAAGAACCTTTTCTGAAGGCACTGTTTTACTAGTCCACTTTACTGTTGTACAGTTTTAAAAGACTTAAAAGAGCTAGGCATTTGCCACTGACCCGCTGGACTCAGAACCCTAACTGTGGAAAGAACTGCAGGTTCCATGGGCTGACTATGCGAGTGGACGAGTCAGAGCTGGGCCTCCTCAGTGGCTCAGATGGAGCAATGGACAGCATATCCAAATGTACATGGAGGATATGGCAGTACACTGAGCCTCCAGAGGACACCTGGTACCATGGCAGAGGATGGAGGACAGAGCAAATCAATCAACTACCCCATCCAATTGTTGCCAGTGAAGATCTGGGCAGAGAGAAACATCAAGGTGGGCTATAGCAGCCAATGGATTTGGGAGAGATTTCATCGTGATTGCAATGACGGGACTGCCAGCAATTCAGGACTGTTGAACTATCAAACCCTCTTGAGGAGTTCATGGTGTTGTAAATTTGTGTTTTTCTTCCTGCTGCTTATTTTGTATTGTGACCTTTCATCTAAGAGGGATGTGTGGTGACTGTGTAATGGACACTATCATGTCCAGGTGTGAGGATGCAGAGCTGTGTGCATCTCTACTTCCAGATCAAAGATGACCTACTAATGAAACTATTAGCTATATCTTGACAACGGGAGGCTGGACTCTGCCATTGTCCATGCTCACAATGATGAGCATGTATGACTGTTTATGAAGAGCTATGCTATAGTAATAATATAGGGGAATTCAGCGGGGGGAAGAGGGGTCAGGGGAAATCCCAGGGCCTTATGAACTGTATCATAATATCATTATTCTCATGTAATAATTTAAAAAGAAGTTAAAAATATATAAATATGTATATGTATGCAAAATAAAAATAAATAAAAGTTTTGATGCTGTTAAAAAAAGTTAGGCATTTTTAAAAAAAATAGCATTTGGGCCTGGCGCGATGGCGCAGTGGTTAAAGGTCCTCGCCTTGCACGCCTGGGATCCCATACGGGTGCCGGTTCTAATCCCAGCAGCCCCGCTTCCCATCCAGCTCCCTGCCTGTGGCCCGGGAAAGCAGTCGAGGACAGCCCAAAGCTTTGGGACTCTGCACCCGCGTGGGAGACCCGGAAGAGGCTCCTGGCTTCTGATCGGCATAGCATCGGCCGTTGTGCTCACTTGGGGAGTGAATCATCGGACGGAAGATCTTCCTCTCTCTCCTCTCTGTATATCCGCCTTTCCAATAAAAAAATAATGAAAATAAATCTTTAAAAAAAAATAACATTTGTTCTATCCCAGTGGCCTCTGCTCCTTGATTGATCCGGGTTTCTGATAATTAGTAATTGAAAGCTATAAAAACTATATAATCAATAACCCAAAAACTCAGAAACTTAGCAATACGTGGAATGATCAAATCAGGACTCTGACTCTAGGTGCCATGTGTTCTTCCACACCAAGCCATCACTGAACAACACAACTAGACAACACAGGGCTCCCTCGGGAAGCAAGGATCAAGAGTTTAAACACGAGCGTGGAGGAGATGGGCTGCAGTGACTGCTTACCTGAGTAAAAGGTGTTGATTTTGGCAAGTTCCTTTTCACAGGTTTGGAAAAACTTTTCTTCAAACTTGGCAAAATACCTCTTTACTGTGTCCTCATCTGTAACTGAAACACAAGGAAAACAATATTTCAGTTTTTTGTCCCAGAGCCTATTTAAAAATTAAGAGACTAGATTAGTTCCTCAGGTGGCAGCTGCGGCCTGGCCATTAGCACACGCAGGGTCAGCGAGCTGAAGTGCACAGTTTCCCTCCCCACGTGCGTTTCCTTCCAGCGAGCGGCACCCTGGGAGGCAGGAGGCTGCAGCCCTGGCAAGCACTCATAAGCACTAAAGTCCGTAAGGTTTTAACTTCAAAATGACAGCTATACTTGCAGTTTTTTAAAAAAATGTAAGTCATTAGAGAAAAAAGTAATCAAAGCCCTCACCACGGAACCAGAACCTGACCTTTCTTTAATGGAATGGGAGCCTAAATCATGTTGCCAGAGAAATTGTGGTAAGATTCAAAACAGAAAACACTACAGTGGCAAGTACAGTGGTAATCACGGAAGAGCCCAGAGGCGGGGCTGAGCCGAGAAGGAACCAGTGAGCGAGGAGCAGACCGAGATGTGGGCTCAGTGCGCCAGGGCACAGTCAAGCTGGGAGTCCTGGCAATTCTGCTACTGATTCAGCTTTCTGCCAATGCAGCTGGGAAGCCAGTGGAATGTATCTGAGGAATAGATTTTGTGTATTAAAACATGCACATTTCATTATGAACAAGCCTCCCACAAATCCAACATTTCCTCGGGTTAGAGATCGCCTTATCCGACACACCAGCAGTACTGCCTAGTTTTCTAGCTCACAAATCAGAAGAGGACAGAACAAGGACAGCAGTTAATAGAAAGAGAAGAAAGCCATAAATAACAACCAGCAAGCAGGGCTGTGCAAGAGCAACTAAATGAAGGACAAAGGTCTTGCTTTTTCACATTACAAAAGACATAAAAATTACTGCAAGTAAAAGTTCATAACTGGTACAATTAGACAACCACCGAACAATGAGAACAGTTTATATTTATACTGTATTTGGATGCCACCTGTGATACTGGCATCCCATGTAGGTACTGGTTAGTGCCACAGTGGCTCCACTTGCAATCCAGTTTCCTGAAAATGACCCGGGAAAGCAGCATAGATAGATATGTGCCCTGTGACGTAAATGGAAGACCTGGAGGAAGTTGCTTGCTCTGGGCTTCAGCCTAGCCCAGGCCCAGCCAAGGTGGCCATCTGGGGAGTGAACCAGCGGCTGACAGATCTCTGTCTCTCCCTTTCTCTATATAACTTTCAAATAGATCCTAAAGAGAAAGAATGAATTCACATGCAAAACACATTTTGGAAAAATCTTAGATTGATACTAAAATAAGACGACTACTTACTTCCATAAGAAAACAAGGAGTAAATTAGAGCAATCCATGGGGAAAGCAATACAAGCATCCAACAAACGAAAGGATGCTCAAAATTCCAGATGTCATTTAAATGCAACCTTTAAAACTGAAAGGATGGCTTCAACCATTAGAGTGGAAGCAATTTCAAAATTGTAGCACCATTTGGCAAAGGTGAGGGTGAGTGAACACTTCAGTTATCTGTGGATGGCAATGTAAATCTGCAAACCTTTGAAAAAGACAATTTGGCAGAAGCTATCAAAATTTCAGTCATTTCAATCCTCCATGCAGGAAATATACTTTAAAGGAACTTCTGCATAATGAATGCGTTTGCAGCAAGTTCATACACTATTGTTTCTAACAGTGATAAACAAACTGACGTCCAACAAAAGGGGGTAGTTAGCCAGTAAAGAATGATCACATCATTTAATAGTATGCAGTCATTAAAAAAAAACAAGACAAATATCCTGGAATATATTAAGATTCTCAAAGACATAGTGTTGAGTAAAAAACATTAAGTACCAGAATATGTATAGCATGATTCCATTTATGAAAGAATATGTACATAAATTAATACTCATATGTGCATCCACGAAAAGAAGACTGGAAGGATGCACACATCCAACTACTACTTATGATATCTGAGAGAGAGAGAGAGAGAGAGAGAGAGAGAGAGAGAGAGAGAGAGAGAGATGTAGGCAGGAGAGAAGTTCTCACACTTTCCCACCAAAACTGATTTCACTGCTTGATTCCATTTCAGTGACAAGGTATTCACAAAGGATAAATGAATCATACTGAATGAATGAGAAGTATCAGCTGGGAGCAAAGGAACAAGTTACATGCAACACTTCACACTGCACACAGCTAACATCACCCAGCACGGCCACTGGAGAAGTGACTGTAGAAGAATCTAGCAGTACTGCACATCATTTCATCTCATTCTACAATCTCAAAGCTGGGAGAATACTGATTTTTAGAAATCAACATCAATCATGAGATGCCTCCTTCACTTGCTGAATAATGCTACAAACTAGTAACTATAAATTGGCGAATCACAGAATCTTAGTGATCAGAAGCCTAGTAACTAAAATTGCATGTTGCATATAAATGAGATTATAGTGCAGGGAGCCAAGATGATGTGACTTGCCCCCCAGCCCCCTCTAATAGCAAATAAGCTTTATGAAAAAACACTGTCTTAATTATTATAAAATTGCCCACAGGTGCCCTGACAGGGAGGGCCTTTTAACACCCATGCTCTACATGTGCCCCCCGCCCCCGCAGAAGAACTGCACTGTGTTTCCCATAAACTCATTTTCTGAACTTTTAACTCCCCAAATGGCTGCATTTAAGGAGAAAGCCTTTAAGATGATAATAAAGGTTGAATGGGGCCATAAGTCCAACAGACCTTCAACCAACAGAATCAGTGTCCTTAATGAAAAAGAGATGCCAAAGACATTTCCCTTCTTCCATCACACAAAAGCACGCAATAGAAAGTCCTAGATCTTTAACTCCACTGCAAATACCATCACGGACGTGAGCTTCCAGAAACGTGAGAACATAAATTTCTGATGTTGAAGCCACCTACTCAGAGGGATTGGTACAAAAACCTCATTCTTAAGACAACAGGGTCAACACGTCCTGAATTTAGTAATTAGTCATAAAAGACTAAGTCTAGTTCCAACACAGCCTAAGTACAAATCCTGGACATACCAGGGACCTGCTCTGTGCATATGAAGTAAAACCACTGCATGTGATGCCAGCTGCTCCACTTCTGATCTGGCACCCCACTGACTCACCTGGGGAAGCAGCGGTCGGTGGCCCAAGTGCTTGCTTGGGCCCCCACCCCGACTAGGATACCTGGAAGAAGTGCCTGGCTCCTGGCTTGGGTCTGGCCCAGCCCTGCCCACTTGGGGACTGAACCAGTAGATGAAGGCCTGTACCCCTGCCGGTCTCTCTAATTCTGCTTTTCATATAAATAAAATAAATCTTTTTTAAATATAGGAATATCAACAATTGTAGGATTAATACTAAAAGGAAAACAAAAGAGTGAAGGAAATACTGCAATTGGTAAAGAATGCTCAGAGAATGCTGCCAGTCGTCCCCTTCCTCTGAATTAAGCAAATTTGTCAATTACACCAAAATGAAGTGAGCAAAAAGATTCATCACATTTGCTGTCCCCCATGTTTGCGGATGACATTTTGTCTCATTCCCCACCACCAATAATGACAAAGTTAGCAGACATGATTCTTGGGAGTATCAATGCAAGTAAAAGACTTCCATAGCAAAGCAATCGCCACCAAGGGATTTTTACAGCAATGTTTTTATGCTATATTAACCTCTCATACAATCTCTAGGTTCCATGGATAATAACCAATCTTTCAAAAGTCAATTCTTTCAAACCACAATTAAATCAACCTACTATCTGATATGCCCCATTCATATTTCTATTACTATTCTCGGTTTTTATAATCTCCGCGTCAGAATATTAAGGGGCAGAGAATGTATCTTTTTCATCTTTATAGATGCCACTCCACCCCGACATAATGCCTGGCATACCATCTGTGCTCCACTCAATCATCTTTGTAAATACTGAAATAATGTGAAAATCAGGATGCCTTCTTAAGATAAAAAGCTAACTGGGCAGTCATATGACATGCACTTGCTACGGAAAGCAGGAGCAGTCTAAGCAGAACAGCGTGTGCCTAGATGCTGTACAAAGAAAGGAAGTGTGCACGGAGAAACTCGAGCGAAGCCTGTGTGACTAGGGTTCAGAGGGCACAGGGCACAATGGCAGCAGGCGAGGTCCAGACACTCTTCTCGTGGAGGTCAGTGGGCCACAGTGACAACCAGGATCGGGTCTGCCTCCTCCACAGGAGGGTGTGAGGAGACCAATCAGACTCAGTACAGTGCACGCCTCCTGGGAGACCATGGGAGTCTGCATTAGGGCAAACGCACCGGAAACAGGACAAGCAGGGAAGCTGCAAATCCATCCCAGGGGTAAAATCAGTTTTAAGACAGATCAGATATGGTTCTGTTGGCAACCACGTGGGCCAGCTTCACTCTAGCACAGCAGTTTCTCTGAAAATTTGAGGTATTTCAATAAACAAAGTCTTCTCCCGATTCCACAAGACTAATTTCTGCAAAATGATTCTGAATCTAATCAGTGGTTCTAAACTATGTTGAGGTTTTATTTATATGAGGACTAAACAAATATGCTTTTTAAATATTCTTTTCAAAACAAAAATATAATCATTCAAATGAATGACATGTAATTGATACGAAACCAACATGAGAGCACTAGCTGATATAGTCACAACTAGTTATTATGGAATTGAAAATTTACCTAAGTCAACTGTGCAAAAAACAATCTACTGAAGTATCAACAAATAATTCAAAGACTAATTCAACAATAAAAGCATCGGGGCTACACTCTCTGGAAGAATTTTGAATAATCATCATACATATCTGTAAATTATGATAAATGATTTTGAACATATTCCGGTAGTTGCAAGCAATGTAATTTTTATATCAGTGTTAACTAAAAGGTGGCTGCTTTAAATATGTAATGTAATAGAAACATTACGACGATTTGCTTAGTATCACCACATAATATCAAACACATGTAGGACCTCTTATTTAACTGTTTAAAATTAAGAATCATTTTCTTCATGAATGTGTACTTCCATTCTGGTTAC